TCCCCACACCTAAAAGGAAGAGCAGGAAAGTGGCAAAAGGAAGCTGCCTGGAAGTAACACGGGAATGAAGAATAAAAAACTAAAACTAGACACAGGAGGAACGAGAGGAACTGGCAAGGGCGCGAGGTGATCCTGCCAGGCGTCCTGCATTCACAGCACAGAGAAATGCGATTAGGTTAGAATCACTTTCCCTCTTCCCCAGTTCACTGAAGCAGGAATTGGTCAGGCCCAGGAATGGAATGACATCTTGATGAAGCTCTGCTTTCTCAGAGGCCTAGGAAGGGTGGCAACTCAGCCAGAATCTACTCACTGGCCTTTTTATATCCAATTATTGGATTTCTATGTTTATGAATTAAAACGCTTCCAGTAAACCAGAAAGAAAGGTCTTCTGAAGCCAGTGGAAATGACTCTAGTTAGTGGTTAATAATAGCACATGGGCTTTGGCATGAAAGAAAACTGGTTTCAAATCTCTGCAACTTACATATTTATAGGAAGATATTTAAACTCCAAGTTTTAGTTTCTGCATTTAAAAAAAACTGGGAATACATATTCCCTACCCACCCATTCTCATTTTACACCTTTGTTTTCTGTCTGGTTCCAGCTTTGACCTGCTTCCCCAGAATATTATATGTGTGTGTGTGTGTGTGTGTGTGTGTGTGTGTGTATATTTATTTATTTATTTATATATAATCTCCAGGCATGATGGCACATGCCTGTAATCCCAGGAGGCTGAGACAGGAGGATCACTGCAAGTTCCAGGCCAGCCTGTACTACATAGTAAGCTCAAGGCCAACCTGAGACTCTGTCCCAAACTAAACAAAACAAAGCACACACATATATACACACATACACATACACATTATATATATATAGTGTGTGTGTGTGTGTATATGCATGTATATATATATCCCTGCTTCAAAACCTCATGCTCCTCTGTTCTTTAAAGTTACACCTAAAATTAGTTGGGCATAGTGGGACACACCTGTAATCCCAGCACTATAGGAGGCTAAGGCAGGATAATTGCAAGTTTGAGCCTAGCCACAACAACGTAGGGAATTAATGAGGCCCTGTCCGAAATTAAAAAAATACAAAGGTCTGAGAATGTAATTCAGTATAAAGTCCCTGGGTTCAATCCCCAGTAACGTGCAAAAAAAAAAAAAAGTTTAACTAGAACTATACATAAATTCCGTACCAATAATGTACACAAATTTAAAGCATGAAAATGATATGCAACAGAAAGCTTTTTGACCTTGAATTCTGAAGGCACTCTTTATTTTTTTAGAACATTGACCCTGTGCCCATGCAGGCTAGGTGAACAGGGAATCGGTACTGTATTATTATCTCCTCTCCTCATAGGAGGTCAGAATAAGCTGCCAAAAACCACTAGGTCGTTTCCCATGAAGAATCTTGAATTCTTGGTAAGAAGATCTGCGCAGACCTCCACTTGCTATGAGCAGTCCACCTACAGAACATGATGCCAAGTGTTAATACTATATTCTGATACTACTTCTCATCACACGGTTAATATGATTTTGGATTTGTACTAGCCCTGTAGTTACGCACACAACACAGGGAGAAAGTGGCGTAAATTCCCTGCTCAACAACCAAAGCAGTCCTTGTCACCAAAACTATCATATGTTAGCCTCCTTGTCAGTATCTGCAGCCAAGCCTTAGCTTCTAAGGATCTACTTGTTACAAGTGGGTTTATGTGCCTTGAAGCATATGGCCTTGATATATGATCCCAGAGCAAAAGAGCAAGGTATTTCAAGCTGGCCACAATTTTATTGACTCTCACAGACTTGCTTTGTAGTCATTCCAATAAACTAGATGAGAAATTTCTGATGCTCCAAGCTATCCAGTCCTCAGGACTCCATTTCATGATTCAGAGTCCAACAAAACAACTCAAGAGTGCTTTTGTGTGACACTGTGACCACAGGGATAAATAATTGCTTAGTAATTCTCTTTGAGGCAGAAAATTCTAAACATGGAGGAACCATTTCCCCTAATGGGAGCCAGAAATCCTGTGAGTGCTTGAAATGGCATTCACAAGTCTGAATGGTAAACAGATAAAAACAGGAGCGCACCAGTTGCACAAATGACTTGCTTGTCACAAACTTGTCATTGCAGTAATCTAACATTTCTTTCACAGAGCCCGATGGAAAGTATGGAACAAACAAGCCCTGCTGACGTTTTGGCTCTGTTAAGCCTTCCTCCAAGCGAAAGCATCTGCAGCATCTTCCTGTTCTAGACCCTTTATCTACTGAAGTTAGCTGATACTGTAACATGTCAAAGAAATGTTTGACTATTGCATTAACAAGTTGATGACAAGCAAGTTATTCCTGCAGTTGAAATACTGCTGCTTTTAATAGGCTGCTATTTTGACCTTCATTTTATTAAAGAAAAGGAACCCTAGCAGAGCAGAGCACTGGGAAGTTACCAGTATTGTTGCCTCAGGCCTCTGCAGATTCACAAAGGCCACCTGTTGCAGTGGTGGGAGAGGGGGCATACCTGGCAGTTTCATCGGGTTACTGATAGGATTTCCTACCAACACACAAATGTTTTGAATACGTTGGATGGCCCCAAGGATTGCTCTTGCAGGGGTAAAATGGCCAGCACAGAAATGCATTTTCTCCCACGTCATCTCTGCAGCCCTCTTCACGTCCACGTGCCTGTGTGTGCTTTATCTAATGTTAGTAGCTGGGAAACTTAAATAAAAATTATATGTAGCGAGTACATAGTTTTGCCAGTTCTTCCTGTTTGTAGCCTCTCCTAACCTCCTTCTCATTCAGCATAACATTACAGCTATCTAAACTTCATGAGAGCCACGCTCCTGTCCCATAAAGAGCAATGCATCTCCCTGAGCCTCCTCACGGAAACCTCAGGCAGCCCTCCCATAGATACCGTCAGCTCATCTCCAACTTCAGCTGCCAGCAGGGAGTGCTGGTACTCTGTGCAACTGCCGACTCTTGTGTGTCTGAGGAGCCCTCCTCCCCTTGGGGACCCACCCTTGGTGATCTCGGAGTGCGCATCCTCTGGGTCCTAGCCTTATCAGCACACAGAACCTGGCTGGAGCCTGTAATTGGAACCTTGCCTGTGTGCCCCCATCCTCCAAGTTTCTGCTTTTGTTGGTGCCATGGGATATCAGCCCTTAGAACAATGGACTATTTGCCCTAAGACTTTGGCCTTTTCATAAAACTGAGCTTCTCTTATTCACCAAGGTGTCAGGTACCTTGTATTCTTTTTAGACCCTCCAGGTCTGTTAAGGGTACACTGATAGTTTCTGGTCTGGTTTAAATATTAACATGAAAAACTTTCATTTTCTGGCCGGTGCCACAGGAGTTTTCATTTTTGAAAGTCTTGTAGAAATGATTATCCTTGTTCAGCCATGAGAACCAAATTTCTTGCCAAAGTGGTGGCAACTTGTTCAGAGTGTCTCCCACACGAAATGTTTTACTCTACCCCAAATATCTCGTGTTGCAATCTATACCTCTGCTTTGTGAGAAAACTGCCAGCAGAGGACAGGTGGGAAAGGTGTGAGAGGGCCTTTTCTTTACAGAATGAAGAATATTGTCTCTGAAAAAGTGAGGATAGCTTGAGGCAACAGTTCAAAGTTTCTGCAGAAGAAAATATGTGAATGAACAATTTGAATTTTAAATGGAGTTTTACTGACTTTTTTTTCTTTTTAAGTTCCTAATAGGATTTCCATAATGATTTTGTTTCCTTTCTTATTAGAATTTAAATGGCAAAGAAATTATATGCTATTTCTGATTCAGAAAAATATGAAATCTTTTTATGGGAACTCTTAAAATACACATTAGGAAATAGGTACTGGTAAAGAATAAGGACAGAAAGGAAGAAAAGAAGAAAGAAAAGAAGGAAAGAAAGAAAGGTAAAGAGAGAGAAAAGAAAGAGAAAGAAAGGAAGGAAGGAAAGAAGGAAGGAAGGAAGGAAGGAAGGAAGGAAGGAAGAAAAGAAAGAAAAAGAAAAGAAAGAAAGAAAGAAAGAAAGAAAGAAAGAAAGAAAGAAAGAAAGAAAGAAAGAAAGAGAAAAGCTTCTGTCTTCCAGTTCACAGGGATATCTGATTAGTGTGTGTTTTTAATACTTACTTATTTGTCTTTTGTTTTAAGGAAGTTAGCAAAGGCAGAAGAAAAAGACCTTACATTAGGATCATTTCATTAGATCCATTATAGAATATTAGGATGAGAAGGGGTTTTGATCAGCCTGACTTTATATCACACTCTCACTTGAGAGGTGAGAATGCTGAGCTCTGAAAATGTTTAATAAAATGAACCAAGGTAAACAAAGAGATTGTGCCAAAGGAAGGCCTAAAACCAAGATCTGACTTTCAGTTCAGGCAACACCCCCTCAGACATTACATTACATTTTTTTAAAGCTTTCTTTTAAATGAAGACAGTCTTATTTTAATAATTTGCACCAATGTGCTTAAATCTACTATAATATTTGCTTTTGTAGTTACTGGGACTTCATATGGCTAAGCTAACTATAGAATGTGCATTTGAGCAGATTGACGATATTTCTTTCTAAGCTGTACTTTACCCGAGTAGTGTAAGGAATCTTTATTGTTTCAAAGAAGTTTTTCCAGTTAGAGAATTCCAACCTTGTATTTAACAACATATTTTAATGCATATGTTCCTTTAATAAGTTTTGTTTAAGTACGTCCTATTCTGCATTCTAGAAGGTAAAACATCTTTTATCCGATTAATAGAAATATGTTTTTTATTCCCACTCTTAGCCATGTTTATTTTGCCCTCGCAGTTGTTAGTTTGGACAAAACATTGATAAAGTCAAAATATCAATGTTTTTGTTTGTTTGGGTTCTTTCTGTTTAACATGAACAGAAAAGTTAAATATGCATTTACCTTCTGCAGCTATGATAATTATAAACTCTTTTTTTATTTATGCAAAACTTATTTTTCTTTTTGTTTCATTTCTGTTTTCGCATGTTCCGAACATCTGTACCGTGGCTGGTGGCGAGAGTAGCAGTGGCTGGCGCTTTTCCTCTACTCTGTGAGCAAAGGAGAATTAGCTGGAATAAAACCTTGCCTTCCATATGGTGGACTTGAAATGCAGCATTGAAAAGGTATCTTCTCTTTTTCTTTTCTGAAACCAGAGATGAAACCTGTGAGCAAATAGCAATCTTGATGCCAAATCACCTTTTAATTCCCATCAGAAAAGTCCTCAGCAATGCATCTCTCATTTCGTCAGTTCCAAAACCTAAATAAATCATCTTTATAGGTTGGTAACATCTGTCTATATACAAAGACATGTGCCTTTGGTCACTCACTTAAGAATGACTAAGATTCTACACATAGTTAAGAAATGAAGTGGAAGTGTTGCTTTTAGTTGAACAAAATGATTGTTTTTTTGTGTATGTTTGGCTGAGGTGCTCATTAATTCCTACAATATTGCAGTTGATACTTGGGAACAATGGAGAGAAAATATCACTGTTGTTTTCCTTTATCTTCATTCTAGTTAGGAAATTAGGGGTCTTTGTCTTACAAAAATGTTTTAATGGAAAATATTTCAAACACATAAAAGTATAAAGAATGATATAAAGCTGGGCGTGGTGGTGCACACCTGTAATGCTAGGACTCAGGAAGCTGAGGCAGGAGGATTGTTGCGAGTTCAAGACCAGCCTAGGCTACAAATTGAGCTCAAGACCAGCCTGAACTGCATAGCGAGACCCTGTCTCAAAAAGACCAAAAAAAAAAGAATGATATAGAATCCAGAACACAATAAAACAAACCTTAATAATTTGAAATATTTGTTACTAAGCCTGTTTCTATTACTACTTTCTTACAAATTACTTACAGTAGAAAAATTAAATGTGTAATTGTTAAGCTAAACTGTCCAGCAGTGTAAAACATTTGTAGAACCTGTGAAGTGTCCCTTGTGCCTTCTTGCACTTGATACCCTCCAAAGTTTTGACAAAGGTTAGTAGCAATCATGAGTACTTTCATGTTCTAGCTTAAATGAATTCTCCTGAATATATCACTAAAAACTATCTATTGATTTTCTCATTGCTAAACACAATTTCTAGTGTTTTCAATAACAAGCAAGTTAATATTTATGTACATGTACATACAGGAAGGTAGAATTGCTAAACAGTAAGAAACATGAATTTTAAACTTTACTAGACATTGTAAAGCTTCCCTTCAAAATAACAATTTATATTCTTTGTAATTTGAGAGTTTCTCCACAGGCTAGATAGTCATACTTTTAATTTTTTTTTCAATTTAGTAAGGGAGGGCTGGGGATTTAGCTCAGCAGCACAGCGCCTGCCTGGCAAGCACGAGGTTGTGAGTTTGATTCCCGGTACTGGAGAAAAAAAACAGAAAAAAAAAATTCTGTATGTCAGTTTAGTAAGGATTAAATAATATCTCAGTTAAAATTTTTTCATTTATAAGCCATTTAAGTCTCTGTTATATCCTTAGCCCATTTTCTGTTAAATTGTTCTGCTATTGTTATTTTAGAGGGTTTTGTTTTGTTGTGAAGTTAGTTATTTTTGTTTTTATTATTATACTCTGGATTCTCATACCTTTGGGCCATACGGAATACAAGTATCTTCGCCCAATTTGCAGTTTCTCTTTTAACTTCTTTAGTAACATTTATTTAAAAAAAAAACACGATTTTAATGCAGTTAAGTTTGATATTTTCCTTAATGATTTGTGCTTTTATGTTACTTAAGAAAACTTTCCATATTCCCTATATTTTCTCTTGCTTTAAAGATTTGCCTTCTATACTTAGAACATGAAAACCCATTTTATTCTTCTTAACCTGCACAATCCAATTATCCTAGCACTATTTAACAAATTAGTCATCCTTTACTGACTAATTTGCAATATCATTTGCCTACATCAAATTTGTTTTGAGGACTTTTATTTCATACAGTATACTGTTCTTCTATCCTTATCCTAATATCATAATGCCTTACCATAACATAAAGATATTCTTATTATTTGGTGAAGTAAATCTCTCTACTTTTTTACTTTTTCAGATTGTCTTGGCATTTTACTAAGTATGACATTTAGGGAAAGCTGAGTTTACCCAAAGTTCTGCTGAATTGTATTGAAATTACATTAACACTGGAGAATAATCAGGGGAAGAGGTGACAGTTTTGCATGTCTTCTGCCCATTAACTCTATATCTGTGCTTCTTTAGGTCTTTCTTTATATTCTTTAACAGTGTTTTATAATTTTCCTCATGAAGGTCTTGTGCCTATATTTTTAATTTCTTCACATTAACAGTTTCTTGTGCTTTATGTACAGAATCAGTCTTTCATTTCAGTTTATTGGCGTATGTTCATTCACCAACCTTGCTGAATATTACTTCTAATAGCTAACCTTATAATTTGCTTTTCCACATGGACATCTGTATCATTGCAAGTAATGACAAATTTTCTCCTAAACTCCAATTCTTAAATGTTCTATTTCTTTTTCCTACCTTCTTGTATTATTCACCCTCTATATAGTGTTAAATAGAAGTCATAATATTAGTAGTAACTAGCTGGGCATGGTGGCACACGCCTGTAATCCCAGCTCGCAGGAGGCTGAGGCAGGAGGATCATAGCACATTGGATCTGGGCTACAAAGTGAGCTCAAGGCCAGCCTGAACTGCATAGCGAGACCCTGTCTCAAAAAGACATTAAAAAAAAAAAAATAGTAATAACTATTCTTTTTCTTTTATAGAAATATTTTGGAAATTTGATGTTTACTTGTTTTATTGATGGGGGTTCTTTTGTTTTTGTCTTATGAGTTATGTATTTCAAGCTGCCTTTGAACTCAGTAGCCTGGAATTCACCCGGATCCTCCTGCTCACCTGGAATTCATGGCAATCCTTCTGCCTCAGCCTCTCGAATGCTGGGATTATGATGTCACCACCATACTCAGCTAGTATGGGATTTTGACAGTCAAAATTACTATACTAAGGAAGTTCCCATCATCCAATTAAAGCTTGCTAGGCATTTTAATCAGCAATACTAGTTAAATTTTATCTATTGCATTTTCTGTATCAATAACTTCAATAAACTTTCCCATTAATATGTTCATGTTTTATATTATACTAATATATTTCCTTATATTAAACATTTTTTTACATTCCTGGAAAAAAATAACCTCATCTTTATGCCTTTTTTTAATCCACTGTTAAGAAAAATTTCCTAACATCATATGTAGTGTGTTTGCATGGAGAGATTAGTCTTTAATTTTTATTTTTAAAAACAGTTATTGCAGAGTCTTGCTTCATGGTGATACTAGACTCAGAAAATAAATTTAATAATATTCTTTTTTAATTTCAAAATTGTTTATACTATCGGGCAGTGGGTGGCAAACTTATGGCGCATGTATTATTTGTTTTTCTTTTAATACAAAAGATGTTAATGTATGAAGTTTGTTTTTTTTTTCCTAAACTAAAACCTCAGTATTCAGGTTTAATTGCAGTGTTGGCACTTTGCAATAAATAAGTGGATTTGGGGTTGCAGTGTGGATACTTGTCTCTAAAAAGTATGCCATCACTGCTACAGGGATTACCCAGGGATATATTCATATAATTTTTTTTTCTTTTTTTTTTTTCTTCCGGTACCAAAATTGAACTCGTGACCTTGCACTTGCCAGGCAGGCGCTGTGCCGCTGAGCAAAATCCCCAGCCCCGTCATATAATTTTCAATTTTCAAATCTTTAATTTTTACCTCCCTATCTGAATCTTTTCTCTCACTAGTTGCCAGACATTTTTCTGTTTCATTTACTTTTTTCAAAAGCTGGTTTTTGATTTCGCTTATTTACACTACTTTGTTCTTTGTGTTCTGCTACTACTCTGCATTTTCTTTCTATTTTATAAAAGTTTAATTCCATTTTTCTTTGACTGGATGCTTGAAGTATGACTCATTTAATTTCAAAAGCTTGTCTTATTTTAAAAATTAATTTCAAGCTCTAAATATTCCTCCAAGTTTCTCATTAGCTGCATACCATACTTTTATATTTAGTTTTGTTAAATTTTAAATATTTTGTAATGGCATTTTGATTTATTTTTTAAGGCTGGAGTTATCTAGAAGTATAGTTTTTACTTTCTAAGTATATTTACTGTGTTCTGATTGTTAATTCTGAATTTAAATATATTTTACAGAAAAGATGTTTTAATTGAAAAAAATTCTTTTGAAGTGCCTTTTTTGTGACTATTCAGTACTTAGATTTTACTGGTGGGTCTGAAATCTATAGATAGGTTATCTGTTTCTTCAATACACTTTCTAAAGTGTTTGTATGTATGTTTTATTATTATATTTTTCTAGCTAGAAAATGAAATCAACTTTTTAATATTTCTTTTGCTCCCTTTAGTGTAAGAAAAGTGCATAATATGTTTTATCTATTAAGTATCAGTCTTGCTGGTGTAATTATTGGAGCTTTACTTATATCTGTTTTTATCATACAAAATGTGCTTATCATTGATTTATAAACCAATCTTTAATTATATGAACTTATAAATTATAGATATAACCGTGCCCACAGTTGTTGGACCCTATGGTCTCCTTTCTAGGTTTTGTTTTATTGTTAAATCACACTTATAGGCAAATTTTTACTGAGGACCTGGGTAGTGTACTCTTTTTGAATGTCTAAAGTTATTTTATTTGTCTATTATCTTAAATTTTAATTTATCTGAGTTCTTTTGCTCAGCATGTTTTTTGCTCACTCAATTGTATCTGTGACTCTTACTTTGTCAACTGTGCATATGAGAAATCTACTATCAAATTTGTCTTCTTACAGGTAATCTGCTTCTTCCTCCTGGTAGCTGTCCGGTTTGTCACCATCTTGCAGTTTCTCTTAAATATGATTCGTTGTGGATTTATTTGTAATTATCAGTCATGAATTCGGTGTATGCTATATAATCTCAAGACTCCAATTCTGGAAAACTCTGATATTATCTTTTCCCTGATCATTTGTCATTACCTATGTATTTTTGTTCTGTAATTCTGTTTTGTTTGTTGATTTTTTGAGGTAGGGTATCACTGTGTAATCCAAGCTGGCCTTGAACTCTCTCTTTAGCTGAGGCTGGCCTCAAATTCCTGGTTCTTCTGGAATTCTTACAAGA